TGTTAGAACTAAAGGCTTTGGTTGAAAACCCTAATCGTTCTCCTGCTTAGTGGCTGGACACCCTAGCAGTACCCGTCCATCAAACTCCAATGCATGTGCATTGCGAGTTTGGCAGCGATCAGTGAAGTTCGCTTCTCTTTATTTCCCTGTACGATGATGATGAGACTTGATCGAGGTTGTATGAACCATATTTTCACTCTTCACCAAATTCTAATGCACCGACATTCTTTTCGTAGGCCCACCATTTCCATCTTCTCCGATCTGAAGGCAGCCTTCGATTCAGTCCTCCACTCTAAACTCTGGTGCTGCCTTTCCCTGAAGGGTGTGCTCGAGAAGTTTCTTTAAATACTACGATTCCTTTATACTTAAAGCTGAAATCGGGTGGGAGTTCACGGCACTTTTTCACTCGAGTTCACCTCAGAAAACACTGTTTGTCAGGGTTGTCCCTTCTCTCTCTTCTATCAAACTTTGTTATAGATTTGATAATGGAAACAGTCCTATCTTCGTGCGAGGATATTAGCATCGATTTACTCCCAGGTGGCAGACTGTTTGATCTACAGTATGCAGACGACATTGTACTACTAAGTGGAGATCCAAGTAAGTTGCAAGCTTTTCTGGCTAGCTTGAGTGCCAGTGTAGCCATGTTCGGTATGCGTTTTGCACTTTCGAACTGTAAAATGGTACTACAAGACTGGGTTGGTCCAGCCCACAACCTTACACTGACTGAGGAAGTAATAGACCAAGTGGACGAGTTTTGTTGGGTAGCTACCCGGCGGACGCATCACGGATGAAGTGTCAGCTCGCATACAAAAGGCTGTATTGGAATTTGCCAACTTGCGACATCTGTGTTGCCGTCTCGACATCCGGCTGTCCGTGAAGGGTCGAGTGTATGCTGCAGTAGTTCGACCAGTTCTGCTATACGGCGCGGAAACGTGGCCATTGAGAAGACAGGATAAAGGTAGGCTGTCGGTGTTTAAACACCTCTGTCTACGTAGCATTGCATGTATCTGGTGCGGTAACCGGATAACAATGCTGATGCCATGCACAGAGTTTTGGTAAACGTGGTCGACCCCCATAGATTACGTTGGTTGGGCCGTGTGTTACACATATCGCTAAATAGGTTGCCACGACGCGAGGCAGGTAATGGGCAGAAAATATCCAAGGCTGATCACACTAAGATCTGGTATGAGAATATGAAAACTCTAACCAGGAGACTCGGTCATGTAGGTTGCGTTAGGCCTTCTGGATGGGGACCTTGAAAACATGGTAACCAGTGGTTAGAGAATCTGAGTGATATGGCTGGATGTCGCGAACAGTCTCGCTCGTTATTCCTGCAGCCCCGGTCTGTATGAACTCTCCACCTCTCGGAATCAGTTCTCAACATTCCAATCTTCATTCTGCTATTTCATCTAAATGGACAATCGAAAAACAGCACCAGTGTACGAAAGTGCATGGTTTATGGTATCCGCGTCGGAATCCCTTTTTGGTTCGTATAAATTAAATTCTCCTCTCTTCGAGTTGATAATTCACAATGGCGCCAATTTCTATTTTCACTAGCTCGATCGTCTCTTAATTTGCAAAAGTACTGTGGTATCAACAAGAAGTTCAGCACCCACGACAGATAGTTTTTTTGTGTCAAAGGTCACCTTTTCAAACTATATGATTCGTAGTTTCCTTCCTAACATGAATGTCACCCGCTCTACCATACTGTCTAACCTGTCCCTGCTTCGGATCCTTATCACTTAATGTATGGGTTGTGTGCACTCGTTGAATATCGACCCATGGGGTCAATATCTGTTTGGGATTTTTCTGCAATGGCTCGAGGTATCGCTGTTATGTTCACTGATTCATTATCCACCCTAAGTTGAATTTTTTTGTTTAGCCAGTGTTATCCTTGGACCAACGAGCATTTATATTTTACCTCGCACAACCAATGGTTTTCTCACGCGTCAATGCTCGCCAGTTGCATGTTACATTCTCTTGCTTGTTGTGGGATTCCGAGTCCGGTTATGATCATCCCTAGAATCCACCAACTATAATACATTTGTATAAGCTGAATTAGAATTTCTGGCAGAGTTGCGATTTGTCTCCTAATGTCGGTTACGATTATCTGTGCCACCTAACATAATGTGTGATCGTTATTCTTCTTTGCTCTGCAGATTCTCGGAATCATGATTCATCCGGTTCCACATCGGCAGACGATTTTGAAAAGTACACCGATTCAAGTCATCAGCAATTCACAACCCGTCGGCTTATGCCACTTCTCATCGCACGATCACATCGCTCACAGGAAAACAATAGAACACGTCCTAGCAGTTCTGGTCAGCGACGGGGTCGATCTAATCGTCTCTCTGATGCCACTTCGGCCCGGAACGATCCAGCGGCTCCTGAACGAGCTGCAACTCGTGATACTAATCGTTCTGCACAAACCCCATCTATCAATGCTCAGGCCTCTGGTAGCTCAATGCGTGTGTTGAGACTCGGCTCAACTGGTGGACGGAATGGCCATAATGAAATAGCAACCGCGTCATCTACGTCAGTCCAGCCTGCATCGACACAGATACGTGCATCAGAATCAGGTGCTGCTCCTGCTGCGGCTCCCGATGGTGTTGCTGTCACTTCTACAGTGATACCCAACACCGAGATCAGCGGTGGTCAATTCACGGTTGATACATCTGAGACGTTACGGGTTCTAAATCGCGTAAGTCATCATACCCGGTACCCGAATGAAACAGTTAATTTTTTCACTCCTTATACTTGTGCCCACGGTTTCATTGTTCACGTGATATCCGCTGCATGTGATCACCAACTCCCCGATAGGGAATTAAAGGGGTTCCCGAGTAATCCGTGTGGAAATTCTGATAGGCTTAACCTTCCCTAACGATCGAACTTTCGCGGTATACAGCTTCGATATCATCCTCCTCAACTTCACAGCTATCTAGTTTGGTGGGCGCCTACGCAACTCCCTAGTATGAATCACAAGACTTGGGTTACCGGTTACCACAGATGGACAGCGGAGTTTAAGTGACTATGGGAATCACCTTTCCTATTGCTCATCACAGGAAAATCAATTCAAGGGAACAGATTGCACCCAAAGGGTAAATTTTTGTTTATATATGTACCCATATATGGCACAGTGGTTCAGTCACTATCATCGGTATGCTTTCTACCTTATGGTCCTAGGTTCGAGCCCCGACATCACCACCGAAGTTTGGTGGTATGCAGCTTTGCTCTCGTCTGATTCAACAACACGCGGGACCTCATGTGGTTCGCTACTTCAAGTCCCGGTGCTCAGGGTTCCGGTTTCCATCGCTGAATAGCGGGTCTTCGTGGCCGGGGTTCACCTCGTCTGCTGTGCAGTAAATTGCTCCTGGTTTATTACCGCTAACGACGCTTTGACACATTCGTCAACTATCCTGGGTTTACTGAACCTTGTACATTTACCCAGCCAAATTAGCGCTCAGCTCAACGGCTTATTTGTGAACAGTACTGATTAGTTTCATGTTCTTCGATGAGTTTATGTTAGCACTTCAGTCTGCTGTGCAATTGCTTGATCCAAAGATCTATTCAAAAACAAACGATTGCCTTCATTCCCGACCCGCTTCTCTAACCCCAAAGTACTTAGCCAGGCTCAAGGACTTAGTTTCTCCTACCAACTTTTTCAACAGTCACGTCGCTTTGTCTCGCGAACATTTTACCGATTATCCTAATCTCTGCTACGACCAATGCTGCTCGGTTGAAATTATTTATACTTGACCCGATAGGTTTTCCTCTTCCCCTCTTAAGCGACGGTGTCATGCCAAAGAGGTGGCTTATTTGGCCAGTAGGCACAAACGTGTCAAAGAACAGTCTGTTCTGATTAGAGCTGAGGTAAGACACCTGAGCACGATGTACGTTGAAACTGTTTTGGGTAATAAGAGCTACTGTGAGATGTGGTGTACCTTATGACAACTCTGTCGCTGACGCATCCTTTCTCGTCCTAAAGTTGGAGAGTTTAATATATCACTTCGCTGCCCTACCTACGCCAGCTTCCTCCCGCCTCTTATTCTGACAGCTAGATAGTGTCCCACCGAACAATATAGACGGAATTTGAAAAGGGTGATGTCGCAGCTGCATACCGCGGAAATTGCATAGCGATGCCATAGTTGGATGGTATGATCCAATTATTTGATCACCATCGTCCAGGTTTGATAGTTAATTCAGGAGAATGAGTAGTATCAGCCGCAGTTATTCCATGTACATTTGTCTCGGTGCCTCAGTATTGGTTACTCTCAATGAGTCTGGACGTCCCAATTAGACCCTTGTGTTCGAACACCGCTGTCTACGTAGCATTGCACAAGTCTGGTGGGGTAATCGGATGAGTAATGCTGAGGTTAGGCGTAGAGTTTTAGGCAGTCCCGGTCGTCCACTATGGGAAGTGATCGACCTCCATAGATTACGCTGGTTGGGACATGTGTTACGTATGTCACCAGATAGGTTGCCACGGCGGACGATGTTTGCCAAGGCTGGTAGCTTTTGGAAAAAGATCGAGGGTGGTCAAACTAAGACCTGGCATGAGGGTATGGAAACCCTAACCAGGAGACTAGGTCACATAGGCCCCGTTAGGCTCCCTGGCTAGGGACCTCGGGATGATGGTCACCGATGGTTAGCTACAACATTGAGTGATGTGACTGGGTGTCGCAAACACTGGTGCTCGTGCATCCACTCATTTTTCCCCTATCACTATCCTATATGAATTATCCATCTTCCGCTTGAATTTGCTTTCAACGTTACAATCTTCATCCTGCTCTTTTATCCAATGGGGCACCAAAAGACAGCAACTAAAACCGGCGTACGAAAGTGCATGGTTAATGGTTGTAAAAACTGGAACTGAACAACTTGTGTCATCCTGTTTGATGCCGTTTCGTAGAATAGAAAATCACTTGGTGAATTCGGTAATTTTTTGGTTATGTAGCATTTTCGTCGCTTGTGTGAACATCGTAGCTGCAATGCTTTTCTGAGAGATGTGGAAAACTGGCGAATTATTGTAGACTCCAATGGGTAGAACATCGAATCGCTTCTCTGGTAAGCCGAGTTCGTTATTAGACTACACGGTTTATTTACAATTGGTCGACCCTATCAACCTCGGAGGCGGTCTAACACATCCCTGTTTTTCTCCATCGTTTCGGTGAGGTCATAGGTTTGCCGTTTCAGGGCAGCTCGTTGATTGGCTGGCTGCCAATCATCGGTCATATAAGAGACGGAATGTGGATGGTGATAGGGTGACCGGGGACGATGCTTTGTTCGTTGTCGTTCGTTGCTCAGCTGTAGACTGACCTTAGCCGACCGTTTGGTTTACCGTAGTTGCTCCCTCAGTTTCATTAACGAGGCTGCGCAGTTCGGTTGGACGTTTTTGCTGGGCATCGATAAGTTGCTTTGGTTATTCTGAGGTTGTTTTGCATGTGGTCCCATACTTGGACACTCCCTATATCTTGTCAAAATATCAATCAGTTTCCTTAGACACGAATCTGCACAGGTGATGTTTTTCTTCAGGGGGATAGAATGTTTCTAAATTCAAATATTTTCCTATTCCTTCTGTGTTTGAAGATTTCTTTTTAAACTTCGTTTACTCAGTAACCGTTTTACTCCTTTCATTTTCGGGGTCATTCCATTCTCGTCCGATTTCCCCTTCATCTTGATATCCTTCCCAAAGCGATTGGGCTAAATTTTGATTCTATACCGCAACTACTAATTGTCAATTTTAAGTTTGTCGTTTTGTTGTGTAAGGCATGCGCTGAGATGGGTTCAGTACCACATCTATGTTATTGTGATTCGGTTACCCTTGGCTGAACGGTTTGTCTTTGTGACTAGATGGATTCTGCTCCATCCATTGTTCATCATACGTTGATGCTTTTCACCCAAATTTTTATTTCTTAAATAAGTGAAAATCACGCTTTGTGCTGTGTTAAAACAAGACCCCCATATTGGATGATAACAGCTATGTGAATTGCATTCATTACAGTAGTTGATTCAGAGAATTTAAAAAATCGATTCTGAGTTAGTGTATGGACCTGGTACTTGCTTATTTGTAATTAGTACTATAGTGCTTCCATTGATACTCTGTTCTTTCTTAGAACGCGATCTTTGCAACAAACATCTCAACGTAGACTTTGGCCCACTGGAATCATTTTGTTTTATTCAGGAATATTTCACGGTTCTTTTTCCAGAAGATCCTCGAATCCGTCGTTGATGCTGAGGTGGCTGGCTCTGGGGCAAGCGAAACAACAGTCGGGACAATTGAGGAAGGTGCCGCGCAGCCTTCGATTCCTGGCACTCAAGATTCCACCCAAAAGATTCCTCAACATAAATCTGTATCAGGTGATCCTATCGTTAAACAGTTGGGTTCAGTCGATAAAGAAGCGGAACCACTAACTGCCACGTACGTTAGCGTTTCAAAAAATCCCCTTGAATTGGTTTTTATGGGCAATGTTCTAATTACCGTTAAATCCAAGTTTGTACTACGTCCAACCAAAGGGACAGTTTTATTTGGGAATACTCGCCTTTTTGGTCGGTAAACCCTCAATTTACTGCGGCTTCTATTAACCGAAAATGTACTAACTTTCTTAGAAGAAACACTTAGTCAATCTAACTTGATGCGTTAACTGTGATCCTGCAGTGTTAATAGTTGATTCACCGGAATACACTGGTATACTTTGAAAGCTACCATTATTATATGGAGGAACCTGTTCCTACGTCTGCATGCACATCCGTGTATTTAGAATCATGAAGCAACTTTGAAATAGTTAACCCCATAATTGTAAACAATCGCTTACAATTGTGGTGAAAAGCGTTCATGATGATGCAATGGTGAATTGTGTGCTTGGAACGGAAAATGCCGTAAGCAAAGGTAAATAGAGAACAAGGACGAGTGTTCCGCACTGTCATCAGTCTTAAAAAACGGAATTCGAACGTTGATGAACGACAAGCTTTTAGAAGCACTTGATATGGACGAATATTTGTGTCCAAACTCACAGAGGAACTTGAATAATGGAGAGACCAGATCTTGCAGTATCATTGGAAGGCCAACCGGATGGGGATAGGCAAGTGCAGGAAGCGTGTTTCTTTAGGGGTGATTCAACAATACGAGTAGGATTCAAAATCTGACAGTGGAAGACAGTGTCTCATCTCAGACAGATAGGATTTTCGAGTCGCGGTGCAGTGTAGACGACTGTTGGGCATATCAATGACTTGTCCTACTCGTTCGAATTCGATGTGATAGTGAATTTCCCGACTGCGCAACAGCTTGCCTCGATTATACGAACCCTCTTCCCTCATCCTATCTACACCAAATTACATAGGCATCAGTTGTCGACAATTTCCGGTCAATGTGTGTCTTTTAATTGAAAATTCAAAGCGTCACAACTGCGCAGTAGCACCGAGCGTACAATGGCTCAATATATATAATCTATCAATTTCAATCTAACGTCACATCGAATCAAGCCTTAGATATGCGCACGATCACCTCTCACTACGCCACCGTCATTAGCCACTCATCAATGTTATTATTATCATCATCATCATAGCACAGCGAGGCAAAGAAAAGCAAACTTCGCTGATCGCTGCCAAGCTCTCAACGTACACAAAGTAAGTGGAAAAGTACAAGTTGGATAGG